CCGAGGCGGAGTTCGCAAACTGAGGTAAATTTTTGCGGCCAGAGCTGGTCGTAACCCGAAAGGTTCGTTAACAGAGGCGTTTGTAACCTGAGGTACCACTGTATAGACTCATCATAGCATCTGAATATCTTTTCCAAGGCCTTTACTCCTACTCTACCAAGTACCAATCTGCAACATATTTATTGACTTTTGTTTCCTTTACTATTGATAGTCAATCCTAAAAGGCAGAAGTTATTCACCACTTCAATATATTTATTGTTAATTCATTAATTTATTGATTAGTTGATCAACCGTATCAAGATACAACACAGCATGTCCATGGAGTCTTCTCCAACACCAAAGTTCAAAAGTGTCAATACTCTTCCTCTCTTGCTTCTTCAAAATTGGTTCCATTACTGTTGATGGCTGATCCTAAAAGAAAGAAGCTATCCCCCATTTCAATGTCTTCATTATCAATTCTAATTGTACCTGTTGTCATTAGTTTGGTCTTCCTTATATTTAATCTTAGCCCCATTTTTGATTTTGTGCTCCTTGATTTTCATTATTAGAGCTTCCAGATCATTTGCATCTTCAGCTATCAGAATAGTTTAATCAGCATACAGCAGGTTATTAGTGTTTCTTCCTCCAATTTTAAACCACATTCATTTTGTTCCAATACAACTTCCCTCAGCATCAATTCAATATCAGGTTCAATAAATAAGGCGAGAGTATACAGCCTTGTTTCACTCCTTTCCCAATCTGGAACCAGTCTGTTTCATCATGTTCTGTCCAGACCATGGTTCCCTGTCTTGTGCATAGATTTCACATGAGAAGAATAAGAGATTCTGGGATTCCCATTTTTCTAAAGATAGTCCATAGCTTGACATGGTTGAAACATCTGAGCTTGGTTGTTTGCTTACAGATGTTTCATTACCCAACTAGGTAACGTCATCAGTGCTAGTGAGTGTGGGGTTTTCTCCCTGTTTATACTGTATATAGCAGCTTGCCCTGCCAGTGTTGGTGGGGGTGCTGGTTTTCTCCTCAGTAGTTCCTTGATTAGGGTATTGTTTTCTGCTTGAAAATAATCAAGCAGAAAACCTCAAACAGAAAACAATAGCTGTAGCTTTCTGACTTGGTAATGACTAGATTGCTGATCTAACTTCCCCTTCTGGTACTACAGGGAATATCTTCTAAGGTATCTTGGATGTTTGACATACCTACTGTATAGAATGTAAATATGCTTCCATCTTTCTTTGATCTACTTTGAATCAGATACTATCTGTCAATTGGCATCCTTTAGCATACCAGTTTGAGACTGGAACCTCCGAGTTCAAATATCCTTTGGAAAACATTCCTTGTTTTTTTTTTTTCATTTCTGTTTCCATCTTCTATTTCTTTCTAGATGTCATAATACTGCTGCTAGATTTTTATCTTTCTTGGCTTTGGCTTCTCTTCTGTTCTTGGCAATTTCCACTGTTTGCTCTGATGCCCAGTTCACTTTCTTCTGTTTCCTGGCTTTTGGCAGTCATTTTTCACATTCCTTCTTAACGTTCTTCTTAACTTCTTTGATTTCATTCTGGTTCATTATAAGTGAGGTTCAGGAATTCAAAATGATTCCTGATGTTCTCACTGAAAATGGTGTGTATATGCTCAAGATTATAGCATGGAAACTGGCTCTTCGTTCTTCTTCTTTAGCTTAACTTGGAACCTGAACATGAGCAGTTCATGATCTATTCCACAATCAGCCCCAGCTACATCTTTGCTGTTATAACTAAATACTTCTACCTCTTCACACAATAATACAGTCAGTTCTATGTCTGTGTGCTCCATCTGGTGATATTCGAGTATATAGCCATTGTTTTGGTTGTTTGAAGACAGCTATGAAGAAACCATTGGTTGGCAAAAGCTGGTTTCCTAGGCCATACAATTTGACTACATTTTCCCCAATATTTCCAACTTTGGCATTCTGATCTCCAGCCACAAGCAGCACATCTTGCTTACATGTTCTATCAATTTCAGATTGAATTTGACTGCAAAGCTCAACTCCCTCTACTCCTGCATCCATGGTTACACCATAACTTTGAATAACAATCTTATTAAGGGGCTGTATGAAATCTAATTGATATCATTTGATCATTGACTGCATTACACCCAATCTGACTAAGAAAGCAATACCGTTCCTTATTTTTCTTTCCTGAACAGTAAAAAGTATGGTTTTCTGACTGAAAGAGTCCAATCCATTTCAATTTACTGGTGCCTGTTTAGTCAAATCATTTCCTCTTTCATGTTTTCCCATATTCATGCTTTTTTTGTTTCACCTTTCTCCTGTAATTCTGTTTTTGCAGCCTTTGATTTTCTTTTCTTCCATGGTAACATCAGCAACTAGATGTCCCAAAAGCTTTAATTCAGCCATTTCATAAACACCATTAGTATTCCAAAAGATCATCAGCTCTTCCTCAGTAGCAGGGTGAGGGCCAACCAATGTGTGGGGATCATCTGTCGTGGGTACTCTTTTTGAACCACCAATAACTAGACTGGCCCAGATTCAACAGACACAAAGAACTGGAAATTTAGACAATTGGGTTTTTGTACTCCTCAGTAGCTGGGGGGGGGGGGGGGGCTTTTATTTCAAAATAGGAAAGCTTACAAATAAAAGAAAAAAGAACTGTAAATTATAAATGCCTACAACTATTGTAGAAATAAATCTTAATAATAAAAATATGTTATATTTTAACTATTTTCTAGAAGCTCTTTATCTACACTTGACTTTAAAGTCCAATTACACTATATTCTCATATCTTTCTATTTTCTATTTCAAATATATTTGTTTATTTCTGTCCTCTCTATTTTGTACCTCTGTATCTCTATGGTCACACTCTATGGAGCTTTATGACTTTTGCTACGGAGTTCAATCTGCCTTTTTTAGTTTCTGCTTTCTATTTCTGTTCTGCAAACTCCTTACTTTTTTATCTCTTCTCCTTGTTTGTTTCTGGCTGGGCTTCTTGATTAATTTTCTCTTCTTCTGAATCTTTACACCATCTAAGGGAAACAGCTTGAAGACCTTTTACCTCATGCCAGTCTGAGGGAAGGAAATAACTCTCACACCCCAGTTTTCTCAGTGGCTGCTTCCTTTCGTGTTGCTTCTTCTCATCAGGGTGTCTTTCTTTTAGTTTGTCCCTTTACTTTCCTGGACTTTGGCTCTGTTTATTCAGCTTATTCATCATGAGACCTGTGGTTGCAGACTCCCAGGCAGTCATCTTGTCTTCTCTCCTTCTTGTCTCCTGTCCAACACTTCTGTTATTTGCTGGGTCATCTTGACAGTGGGGGAAGAGCAGAGGTGCTTATAACCTGCTCAGGCAGTCTGTCCTTCTATACCATCATCCTGCACTATGTAATCAAACACTTTATCTTGTCTGGCCAGTGGGGGCAGCTGGCGGCAGCGAGTAGGTGGATAGCCAAAAGGGCAGAGATGAGGGGGAGGTAAGCAGAGGAGGCAGTCCCTTACCTTATGGAGGTTCAGGGCTGGAAGGGACCAAGCTGGGAATGGCTTGGATTGGGGTGGGTTCTCATCTAAAAACTGGTGGGTTTTGGCTAAAGATGGCAACAGGGACTGCCAAGATTGCAATCCCTAAGTGATGTGGTCACATGACATCACGCTTTACAACTGCATCACTTAGTGACGGAAATTCCAGTCCCAATTACTGTCATTAACAGGACTACCTGTAGTGTGGATTTAAAATTGGAGGAAGAAGCATGCTATGCTGCACTATGCTGATGATACTACTTAAACAGCCGAAAATGCAAAGGATCTGCAAGGTCTATTAATAAAAGTCAAGAAGCATAGTAAAAAAATGGAACTAAGATTAAATATAAAGACGACCAAACTAATGACTAGTACAACAACCAGCTTTAGAATTAATAATGAATACATCAAAGTGGTAAATAACTTCTGCCTTTTAGTGCCATCAACAGTAAAGGAACAAACTTTGAAGAAGCAGGATAGGAAGTGTATTGACACTTTGGAACTCTGGTGTTGGAGAACTGTTCATAATACCCAATGCTCTCATCTAGCCTTTTTTTAAATAATAACATTAATATTTTTAATGTCATTCTGTTTTAGTATTGTTATTTTATGGTTTTATTGTACACTGCCCAGAGTCATGTTCTGTGAGATGGGTGACCATATAGATATGATTTATAAATAAATAAAATAAATAAGGCTCTTGAGAATACTGTGGACAGCCAAGAAAACAAAGCAATGGCTCATTCAACAAATCAACCCAGAGTTCTCACTAGAGGCACAAATGACCAGGTTCAAATTATCCAACACATTATGCAAAGACTTAATTCTCCAGAGAAGGCTCTAATGTTGGGAAGGGTAGAAGGAAACAGAAGAGGACAACTAGCAGCAAGATGGATAGACTCAATTACAGCAGCAATGGGTACATGCACCATTGGAAGACCTAAAAGACCAGGTTAGAGTCAGATCATCATGGAGTAAATCTATCTGGGTGGTTGCTAAGAGTCAACACCAACTTGATAGCACATAATCAATCAGTACATATTTCACACAATTCCAACCTCAACTGTCATGAACTGTGGCACTGATATTCAGCAATTCCATCACTAAATTCTGCAGGTTCCAAAGGCTACAGAAAGAACTTACAGCTGCAGATGATCCACTCCTTCCTTAATATTCTTTGTGCTGAACTTTATAACATGTAAAATTCTGTTAACTGACAGTAAAAATGTGATTACTGAGGCAAAAATGAAGCACAGGACTGAAAAAAGAAATCCAATCACCAATTGGTAAGGACAAGCCACCTTAATAAGCCAAAGTCCTGTCCAAATAACAAAGTACTATCTACTACATCAGAAGAAACCACCCAAGTCTCATTGAAATAAACTGCAACCATGACCAATTTTAAAAATTACTCATTTTTGAAAATATAAAAAGAAACATTGGTGTAATATTTATTATTACATCTCCAATTCTTACCTCTGTTTAGATGGTGAGCTTACCAAAGCAGACTCTTCTCTAAAAGAAAGTTTCCAGGATTCATCTGGTTTACAATCAATCTGGCCCAATTCTCCCATGACCCAGTCAGGTAAATCTTCTGGGATGTTACTCCAAACGCTTTTTGAATTTGGTTCATCAAAATAGATTGACTAGATTTTTAAAAGAGAATATTGAAAAATATGTTTCACAATGTAAGTTTCCAAGAATAACCCCTACTTTAATAAATTCTACAACAATGCTAAATACTAGGAAGTCATTGGGCCTATTCAACAACCATGGTTTAGTACAATATATGACCTCAGCTCTTGACATAGTAGCTCATCTCAGTTTCCAATAAACATATATTTTGTTGCAAGTTTAAAGTAGAAAATTATACAAGTGTCCACAGGTTATATATTTTACAAACTTTCAAGACATACCTGAGTCTCCTACAACTATTATTACAGTAAAATCAATAAGCTGAGGCATAGTCAAAAACATGCAGCTCTGTCTGCTTTGAAGTTGCAGTAGTGGAATCTTTGGCCCATATCTTCTCATGCTGTGTTTTCTACAAAGGTGCCCAAGATATTACTAATGCCCCAGAATTCAAACCCTCCTGATCAGTCCTATGAGCTCTATGTTCAACATCTCTCATCAGATCAAGATTTAAGAATAACTGCAAATGGAGCAAAGTTACTGTAATAATCTCTGGAATAAGACAGCAATTAATACCTATCTAACCTCCTTACACTCTAGATTAGTTTAACAGTTGTTTGCAACAAGGTCATGATCAACATCCTTGCTATCCATCCTTGCTCTCAATTTTCCTTATGGATCTTATTTCTTAACAGTGCTAAATCATATTTTAGTTCTTACTTTTTAACACTATTCTGTTCTAAATCGGCAAAAACATCATCCTATGATGTATTATTCAACTGGATATTAAGCATCTAGGAGAAATCCAGGCATGGGATCAGGACATTAGTATGGGAGCTCTGGCATGGGTGTATGAATCTAGTTTTTTGTTTTAATGTCATTATCGGGGGGGGGGGGGGTTCACCACGCAGAGTTTTTTTAATTGGGGGGCAGCCATATAAATTGGATTAATAAATAAAATAAGCCTAATAAATAAAATAGGCCCATAAAGAGAAATATGAAACATACTGGTTTTAAACTACAGCAGTGAAGTATATATTTACCATGTATGCTGGAAGTGTTTTCAATATTCCTGATTCAGGTTTATGTGTAAATGGTCCCTCCAGCACTCCTCTCTTTAGCATATGAAGAAGCAGTTTTGCGTATAAGTTTCTGTTCTTTCTACCAACAATTCCTGTACCAGCACCTGAAGGCTCACAAAGTTTTTTAATCCAAACAGCACATCTGGAACGTTCTGAGGAAGGCAAAAGATATATTTAGGAAGCAGAAATTGGTAACATTATTTTTCCATCAAGAAGACAAACATACAACTCCCTTTACTTCAAGATAAAGATTACAAAGCAAATCCATTGCTTAAAATGTAATGCAGACTATTATCCTTAGGTACCTAATAACACAAGAAACATTAAGACCCTGACAGCCTGATACATTTCCTTGTAAAGTTGAGAGTCTTTTAAAAAATTAAAGAAAACAGTTACAGGTTACATATTTTTATATTAGTTGGCAAAACAGCTTTCCTGTAGGAATATCTTCAAATTTGTACAACATAATGTCTGAAAAATCACATACTTTATCATGACAACATGTTTGAATTCATATTTGTCTTGAATATTCTGTACACAGGATTTCTGTATGGATTTAAACAATATACAATTTGTATTCTGTATGAAGCAGATTTAGGCATTAACTCATGCAGCAGTACAGCCATTATAAATTGTTACTAGCAGTTTTCTAAACAGGCATTCCTTTGCAGCCCATGATTTTTTTTTATCAATGTGGCCCTTTTCCCTCTACAACTTGTGCAGACCTGCCCTAACGTAAGATTATCATTGGAATTCCTCTTACAATATACATTAATCTAGGAGTTATATTCATTTTAATAAGTAATTAAAATGCCTATAAACTTTATGTTGATGTATATTCCTGTTATTATTTTACACAAATGGATAAACTACTAATAAAGTTTATGTGGCAGGATAAGGCCCTTTAATTTTCTTCAATTAAATTCAGGTTTCCTTATCAGGATGGCACCCTTAATCTACTAAATTTTCAGTTTTATCTTTGGGTTTTTATTTTAATATCTATATTCATGTGGGAAGAAAGTTTTTCCTTCTGGGCTTGTTTAGAGAGCCAAAGTATGATTACTTTGAAATCTTGGCAAGTTCTTGTGCCAACTTACAGTAAGCAATGGCTGACTCTTCTAGCATTCAAAGGCACTAGACACAGGGAAGCATATACATTTTGACCCAGGATTCATATGAGAAATTCACGTTACAGACTAATCCTAATCTGAAAATGAGGGGGGGGGTATTGGAAGTTCCGGGTTGAGCAAGGGATTAACATCTCAAATCAATTATAAGCAATATTTTAGGAAATCAATATCTATATGGTAACACAACCTTGGAGAACATGGTAATTAAAGATGTGTGATGCTGAACTACACTCAAAAAGTATGGAGTAATACTATGGGGACAACTCCACAGTTTAAATCACCTTGA